ATTAATTTTGGTTCAATCTTGATTAACAACTGGAAGTTTGGCAGCTTATGATGGGTTTGATTTTAATGAACTTTACCATTTTATGCAAAATTTTCATCAAAATATCGATAACACAATTACTACTGGTAGCGAAAAATTTTCGGGAGAGATGCTTACTCTAAGAAATCAAGTATTGTTACCAAATGCCACATGTGAACTATTGGTGAAATATTATAATGATATATATGATTGGAATTTTACATCAATTGCTGATTTAGCTTCGAGTGATTTATCGTTAGGAGATTCCAATCAATTAATCGTTGTATTACTAATCGTAATTTAGTTTAGTCGTATTTGGATTGCTACTGATGAATTGCTGCCAAAATTTTTGGGTCAAAAAGTGCACCCCGATATCAAAGAATTTCATATATTCTGGCCAAATTTATACAGGACGATGAGTCCATAGACATTTACCCTTATTATGTTCAGTATTATTTTGAACATACAGTTCAGCTGCCAATCAGTCCTAAGATGCATCAGCTTGCTTTTGTCAACTGGTATTTATGGGCACCAAATGAGAAAACAAGATTTCATTGCAGAATCGGCAATTGGGATGATAAAAGTTGCAACGTTGAATTGTAGAAATATGATTTCCACGAATTATCTAGAGATACCATCATGCTGATTTATAACATATACAATCGATTCTTACCTAGTAAATTTACAGTTGGCACACGAAATCCAACTACTTATATGGCAGTCATACCAATTAATAGACAATTTCATTTGTAATAAAACAGAGTTCATTTACATTTAAAATAAGTTATCTGATAAATAAATTTATAATTTACTAACAATCGGATTACAATTTATTTTAAATTTATAAATTACTAACAATCGGTCACTATTTGTTTTAAAGAGAGCAATTGGTAAATTTAAACTAAAAAATAGTTATCAATCAGGTATTAATCTGATTGATACTCGATTGAAGTGTACACCAATTTCTAACTATTGAATAAATCAGGTGACCGATCAAAAAAAAAGTTACCAATCAGGTAAGTACCCGATTGGTCAGCATTTTACCTGTGGAACTTCAAGAACTGGATATATTCAAGGATAACTTCTAAAGCTTTATCTTTCTTTTCTATATCTTCAAAGATCTATAGGCAGAGTAGGACCTTGCTTACTTATAATAAAGGTCACCATAAAAAATTGGCCCTTTACTAATAGTTTTTACCTTACTTTTTTCTTAAATTCTATTGGTTAATTAGCTAAAAAGAAAAAAAATCATAACAATATAACATAAAATTTTCTTTTATAGTAGAATCTGCAAAGAATTTTATATATGATTTTTACCTTAGGCCTGGGGGTGACCTATCTTATAAATAAGCAAGGTTTGCCAGAGTTTTTATATAAAATTTCAAAAGATTTTGTAAGAAAAAAAGAAAAGATATCATGTAAGTAACAAGCAATAATAAATACATCCAATAGGAATCTAAGAATATCAGATTTTCAGCTAACTGAAATGAAAATTATTGAAAAGCTTAAATATTAATCACCAATTGTACCTTCTGCAATATTAATAAAATTGAATATATAAGCATAACCATATACTTTAAAAGAAAAGAAACAGGTTATCTATTTCAAAATAGTTTCAGATTTTAATTTTAATGATTTTTGATTTATATCACCTTCTTCTATGAATATCTAGAATACTCACAAAACTTTGAATAAAAGTAAAATATTTAATAAACTATAATAGCAGAAAATTATGAAGTTTAAGCTTATACTGAAAAAAATGATTTTAACTATTATGACCAAATATATATTACAAAATAAGGTGAATATTCACAAAATAGTTATTTATGATATTTTCTCCACTATAACATAACTTGAAATCCTGATAAACCTAGAGAAATAAAGTCAAATTATTACATTCAAAATCAAGATATAAAAGAAGTATATAATGGTAACATATCAATTGACTTTAACGAATAAGCTTTGCTAAATTGGAATAATAAAGTTTAGACTGCTTTATTTGAAGAAATACCTACAAAGGTTCTCTCTAAAAAAGGGTAGTTACATACTGAATTTACTCTAATAGTTTAAAATTCATCTAACAGTATATACATAAAGTCTATTCATTGAATGACAAGTGATTTAATAATTAAAAAATTAGTTTAGTTTTATATTATATATTATCATATATATGTTGTTAATATAACTTTTTTTTAATAAACTACTAAATGTGCTATAGCAAAAAAAAAAGTAAAAGGCTAATTTTTTACAACAATTTTTATTATAAATAAGTAGATTCTATACAATCTAATTTTTGAAATATATCAGATAAATGGATTTTACATAAAATAACATACAAACCTACAATAAATTACCAGATTTTTTTAAAAATACTTGGTAATTTTCATATTGCATAAAAATACATAAGTTTTTGATGAAATCACTTAAANAATACATAAGTTTTTGATGAAATCACTTAAATTTTTTTTTATTTAAAAGATAATCCTTCATAGATTTTATATTTTAAATAAAAAAAAATATTTTTAAAATATAAAAAAAAATTATCTAATTATAAAATATAATAACTTTTTGAAATTATTTTATATATTTATTTACATATAGATAACTTTTAAAATTTCGAATATGTTGACCATTTTTATTTGCATTTTTAGCAATTACATTTGATTATTTTTCAAATAAAAAAATAATTATTATAATCTGTTAAAATTTAATAGACTTGTATATATCTTAAAAATTACTTATTTTACTATATTTTACTATTATTTTTCAAGTTTATTAGTAATTTTCAATAAAATTGGCATTTTTCTAGATATACAAAAGTCTATTAATTTTCAATAGATTTTAATAAAATTTTTTTATATAAAAGCTAATTAACTGTAATTTTTAAAATGTAATTAAAAATGTTATATATTTGACATTTTAAAACCTATCTATATGTACACAAATATACAAAAATAATTTTAAAAAGCTGTCATAATTAACAATTAGACAATTTTTTTCTATACTATAAAATATCCTTTTTTTATTTAAAATTTAAAATCTACAATGGATTAGCTTTTAAATAAAAAAAAATTTGAACAATTTCATCAGAAATTTATAAACTTTCATGCAATATGAAAATTACTAAGTATTTTTATAAACTTGTATAGATTGATTTTTATTTTTATTTTTTTTTTATTTTTGGAATTATATTGATTTAAAAAATTTTATAAAATAGAATTCTATTATTATTTAGAATAACTATTAAAATAATTTATCACTTTATATACTGTATATAAATTTATAAATAATATACTGTAATAAAAAAAAGAATTTTAAAAAATAAAATATTAATTATTAAAGTTTAGAACTGGTTCTATTTTCAAAAACTGAATTTAAACTGAATGCAACCAGTTCAATTCATTTCAAACTGGTTTTGCTAACCTAATTGAAATCGAATAACCAATTTACATAACTGGTTTATATTTAATAATTCTGGCTAGAATTAAATGTAATTGACATAAATTTGGCCAAGTTATAATTCAGGTAGAATTACAAACTTTATGTAATACAAACAAAATTTTGTAGGTCTATAATAAAAATTTTGTAAAATATAATTTACTTAATGTTTAAACTATTTAACCATAGTCATGTGATTTAAATTTTATAATTGCTAACACTATAAAGTTTCAATATTAAACCAAATTGAATATTCAGTTACATTTACTTTAAATGCAAACTAGTTTTGTAATTGTCCAGAGCAAAGTGAAGGACTATATATGTCTATACACTATGATGATCTATAAAAATAACGTGTAAATTTTCAATCATGTAAGTTTTTCTGTTCAGGAATTTCAAGGCGTTATGCTGCTAATCAGCAGAAAATTACTGGAATTCCAAGGTGTTATGCTGCTAATTAGCAGAAAATTACCAGAATTTCAAGGTGTTATGCTGCTAATTAGTAGAATATCGCTACATCTTTATTTATTATACCTTTCTCTGGACTTACAACAGTTCCCGTTTTCTAATATAAATTTGGTTAAACTGAATTATCAAAAATCGGGTGTAAATCAAATTTGAAATCAAATATACCATCTGATTCCAAACTTTAATCATTATATAAAAAAAAACTTTAGTTATCATTATTTTTAAATTAATATGATTATTAATTAATTTCTATAATAATGATTTTTAATTCTTTAATTACAAAAATAAATTATATTTTATTATAAATACTATGAATATTATTTGATTTGTATAATTTTAAACTATTATTATATTATTTGTATAAACTTTATTAATATTTTTTTTATTATTTATCTTTTATTTTTTTTTATAACTTATAAACTAATTTCCAAAAACCTCATTTCTAAAAACCAATTCCTATAAATTCTAAAATTTTTTTAATAATAACAGATAATACTTTTTTATTTTATTTTTATAATTTCTAACTATTCTTTTATTTCTATCTATTTTTTTTATTAGTATAAATAAGCTGTATTTTTTTGTTTTTTAATAGTTGTTTTTAGTATTTTAGTATTTTTAATAAGCTAGTAATTTAAAGATTGTATAAAAGTTTATTAATATAAAAAGCAAAAGGATATATTTAAAAATAAATTTAAGATCAAAATAAATAAATAATAACCAAAAGATTTTAGTAAAACTTAGCAGATTTTTAAAGAAACTTGAAAAAATACTTTTAATTAAAAATAATAGTGGATTTTATTTTAATTTTAAAATAAAAATGGAAATTATAAATAATGATAATGTTTAAAATAGATTTATATATTAATATAATTTTTCAATACTATAAGTCCTAATATCAATATAATAAGTTGTTCTTTATTTTAGTAATTCTTTTCTAATGCATAAAGTTACAAATACAAAATAATGCTTATCTATACTGTATAATGCAGATGTAAAAATTAAAAATTAACTAATGTAAAGGTAATAATAATATATAAGGCAAAAAGAATAATATAATAATTAAATTTAATATTACAGTTGTTTTTATTATTTTAATTCAAATGACAAAGAAGGATTTTTAGCAAATTTAGGATTAAATTCTCTAAATTCTTTAACCATTTCATTGGTAATACTTTTAAATTCATCTTTAGAAGAATATGAAGGAATTTTTTCCCATAAATCTTCTAAATTATGATATTTTCTTGCTTCAGAAGTAAAAAGATGTACAAAAATTAATCCTGTATCTATCAATATCCAATCTTCTGAATCACGTCCTTCAATAATTGGATAACTTTGTAATAAAGAGTCTGCTGAATTTGAATTCTGGATTTGTATTTCATTTTTCAACTGATAAAATAAAAAAAAACTTTAATGTAAATATTAAAATTTAGAATTTCAACACATATATTAATTATACTTGCCATTTTATAAAGTCCATCTGCTACTCCACCTAAATGTCTCGTAGTTTTTCCTTCACCTATTATCATCCAATCAGTAAAATCACATTTTTGCCTTACATCAATTACAGTTATATTCTCTACACCTTCTTCCTCCAACAATCTTATAATTTCCAAAAATTTCGTTCGTTGATGATCATCACTATTCATTTTTACATCGGGAAGTTTATCTGAAAGTGAATTTGCTCTTCTTTGCCATAACGGTACGAAATCACTTTCTTGTGGATTTTCATAAGCTGGATCAACAAACCAAGTGTCATCCATGTCATTATGTTCTGGAAAAAGTTCCGGATATAACGATCTATCTATTTCCTCAACTTCTTCCTCTTCTACCTCTACTTGGCTAGCAAATCCTTTAACATTTGATTGTGTGGAAAAATAAACTTGTCTTCGTACGAAATTTATTTTTGGTTTTGGAACTATATTAGAATATAATAAAAAATTTAATGGCCTTTTATAGTAAGTTATCTTCGAAAAAGTTGAAATAGCTTTTCTTCGTATCATAACTAAAATTTATCAAAGTAAAAGAACTGATTAACTGATTATCAATAATGGCTTAGTTATACAAATTAATTATCAATAAGCATAATACGACATCCACAAATGGTTTGAATAGTTCTTTTTGTAAGTACTTGAAGTCTCTAAAACATATTCTGATGGTTATTTATTTATTTCATGTTTCATTTCTATCATATTTTTAGGAAATAAGGATGTTTTCAAGTAAATATATTAGCATATATAATCATGCTTTAATTTCTACTTCAACTTCTGGACCACTTTCAATCTTTATGCAAACATTTTGGAAAGAATCTCAAAGGAATACTGGTACTTTATTAGGTTTGGCTGAAATATTAGGACCAATTTTATGGGCCGTTCCGAAGAAAAAGACTTCTCATTCAAAGAAAAGAATGCGTTCCGCAAATAAAGGGTTGAAAGATAAAACAAATATAGTTAATTGTCCAGGCTGTGGTCAAAAGCATTTGACACATCATTTATGTTTCAATTGTTATAAAAATTTTAATAATATAGAAAGATGAAGAAGATTATTTTATTGAAAATTTTATAAATTTTGTGTGGCAGTGCATTATTTGGTCAATATGTATTAGTTGATTTAAATTTACATTAAACAATTTTTTGTGAAATGTTAAATTAATTGCCACCCATTCTTTTCCCACTGTTTACGTTATTTCCATTGTTTTTGCTAACTTCTTGGTAAAATTCATTGAAATCGAGCCTAACACTAAGAAATCTCAAATCCGTATCGTGATGATGAGACAAAGTCGTCAATAGATTTACCACTTCTCCCTAATTTTATAATAATATTTAATGATTTTCATAAATTAAAACAATAAATTTAATATAATTTACTTTGAATAATCCAGCAACTTCTTCTAAACGCTCCTTGATCGGTTTAAAATTTTCTCTGACGTTTTGATTTGAAGATTTATTTAAATTGGAATATCCCCATATTCTCTCTGTTTTAGGCGTATAAGAATCAATGCTGGTTTCTTTCAAGGCGAAATTATGAAGTTCGTCCTATTATCCAAATTGGAAATATGATACAAAAATGGGATTAAAAAAATTTAAATAAATAAACATTTGTTTTATATAAAAACTTTACCAATACATTCTTGTACTGTAATATATGGCCTATAATTTTCAAGAGTCTTGATAGATAATTCTTAATAATAATTTTTTTTTTTAGTAAATTAGTTAAAAATCACAAATATTAATAACATATGTGAATTACCTGATTATTTGAGGTGCCTAGAAAACATTTTGTTGTGACATTCGTTAAATATTTATTGTGGGCTTCAATAAGAGAATCTAAATCTCCAGATTTTTTACCAATCTCAATTTCAGTTACAAGTTCGTCCCAAGAACATTCAATAACCTAAATAAATAATATTAATAATCACGTCGTGTTTGCAAGTTATTAAAAATATACTACCTCAAATAAGATATAATATTGTAATTGATACACAAAATGTATCATTTCACTACAAACTAATCTACTAGCATTTACTTCCTTTTTAATCTCTAAAAATAGTAAAATAAAATAAATAAAAAAATCAACATTTGTTAATGATAGTGTGAAACTTATAATATTATACCTTTAATTTGATATAAACTCCGTGCGCTAGTCGTATTACGACGCCAAGCCGATGATAAATCATGCTCGACCCGTTTTAAGCGCCAAAGGAAATTGAACAGTTTAAGATATCGTTGCATTTCTTGTGGTGTGAAAATTGTGTTTATAGGAGAATCAACATGGTAATCTAAGCTGAAAACGTCCCAGCCAATATCGCCGGAAGAGACCTATTTAAAGAAATGTGTCAAAATAATAAAAAAATTTCTTATTAAGTGCTATTATCTTATCTAACCTCAAGAAGTCTAACATCCAACCTTCGAAGAATGTCGGGATCATCATATTGTGCATTTGATGCACGAATAGCGGCTTCTAAAGTACCTGTAAGGTTATGACGGTAAAGAGTATTCGAAGGTTTTGAAAGGCCAGGTCTAAAAAAATAAATAAATAAAATTTTAATTTATACAAGAGCGTGATATAAAATTAAAACTTACCCCAGTTGAAACATTAAGTGTTGTATAAAATCACCCTGGCCAAGTAATAAATATTGCTTCAAAGCAGTCAAATGTTTCTCGAGTTTGTATTTAGTAAATAATATATTCAATAGCCTTTGACTTGTAGCGGTATACGTAGCGTCAATAGAACTTTCAAGTGCTATAATATCACCGTATTTCAACACTATGTTTTAGGTTCCATAAACTGTCAAATTAGTATAATCATCCTAATGAATAATATCAAAAAAAATATGAATAGTCACTTTTATCAGCTCCCTTTGCTTTCCCATTGGTAACTACCCAATCACTATCATGACAGCTATAACGAATAAAGTTAAGGGATTTTCCTATGGAAAATATCTGAATGAAAGCTGTGATTAATTTATTATTCATTTCTGGAAGAAACATAATCAAGTCCTTACTTTTTTTGCAAGTAATGTGCTAATAAAAGTTGGTTGCATATTTTGTCGATATTCATATTTTAATTGCCACAAATTCTCCTCTAAAACGTTAGGATCACAAGCAACGAAAAATTCTTCAAAAGGATCTTCCAATTCGCCTTCATATATCCAACGTTGCAACATTTCAAAGAATGGGCGCGATACCTATAATATTTTATCGAAAACATTATAAAGGTGGTGGTATCCCAAATGTAAAATATTATCTATTTTTACAATAATTACCTCTTCAAGTGTATTGTTAATAAATTGTTGAATGAATGGATCTCCATGATTCGTATAATTATAAATCGTCGAAACCAATGCTCCACCTCTTTGTTTTTTACAACAATCAACAAGAACTGACATAATACGTAATTTTAAAAGTGACTCTTGTGTCCATACCAAAAGACGTTTTAAGGTAAGTCCTTGAGAAGGAATCTGTTGCCCTTTAACTTGTTTTGTAACTTGAGCTTCCAAAACAGCAATGAATTTATAATATTCGGTCAGTTCACGTTGTAGGGCGGAACAGAAAGCCTGATTGATTTCATATGATATTAAATTTTAATTCTTCATGATTCAATATAAGTTAAAGGTAACTATGATAATTACCTGACCAACAAGTCCAATAGAAGGATCATTTACATTTAAAGACACGAACTCATTGACACGTTTGTAGAGCCATCCTAATTCTGTAAGCCTATGTAAAAGGTCACGTGTCGTTCGATTAATATCTAACTGTTTGAAAAATTATGAATTTATCAATGAAGACAATAATATATTCTTTAGAAATAAACGTCCATAATTATTTGTGCATACCTTTGGATCGATTATATATGATAAGCTCTCTTCATTATATTTAATAAATTGTCCATTTATTCCTTGAAATATAAATACAATGTCACGTAACAACATTTCTTCAGACACTTCGATATTAGCTAAGAATAATTGTAAAAAAAAAAAATTAGAATTTTGAATAAAATCAGATAACGACTAAAATAGTAACTTACAATTCTCAAATTCTGCTAATTGCTTTATCAAAATGATTCTAGGAGGCAATTCTTCTTCTTTTGAAACTTTAATAGTAGAAACCTTAGATGAAGAGGGAACGTTTGGAATGAATCGATTTGCCTCCTCTTCATATGGTTGTTTATTTGTTTCAATATTACGAAAATTGGATAAATTTTGTAAACCACGATATGAAAACGCTTGTTCAATAGGCTAAAATTGAAGAAATCAAATAAATTCTTAATAATGTAAAGTCTGAACACCGAAAATATGGTTAAATTAAAATTTACTGATGTGTTCATAACTTTGCCTACTTCACTAATGTTAGATTGATCGCTTAATGATAATAAAAAATACAATATTGACCATTTCCTCGTTATAGTTGTCTAATGAAAAGCAATGAAAATTGTAAGCTCAAATATAGTAACGGACAAAAGTACATTAATTTTACACACCTGAGATTGCAATTTAGAGAATAAATTTGCGAATCGTAAAGCTTTTGCCGACGATTTGTGTTCACGAGCCACTAATTAAATAATGCTAACTTAAGAAATAAAAAAAATCAAAAGAAAACTAAAGAAAAGAAAAGATATAAGATACCTACATTTTTTTTTAATAAGATCGGATACATGTAGTTCATCACTCACTACCGAAGGAGTCATTCGACTGATAGAAGAAACAAACTAAGTTAATAAACATTTTTGTTGGTTTTATCTTGCTTTTCGACGTAAAAAAAGCAAGACTGAACTGAGTAGTTCGTACTTGAATTTGTAAAGGTCTAGGGCAATTTACCTGCCCAATATCCTCATACAATATTCGAAAATTTGCTGTTGACGTGATGACAGCTCGGCGTTTTTACCTACCTCAGAGGTAGGAGTGCCTTTACAGCTTGCCTTATTTGCTGTATTTGAACTTTCGCGTAAAATGGTTTTAACTAAACGAGCGAGAGTACGCGAAATACGTCCAATTTCTCCATCAGCAGCTTGAGGAATTGAGTTTTTTAAACTTGCAAAACTTGGGTTACCATAGAAACTGGACATGATTAAAAGGTTATTTTGTTCGTGAAGAGTTTCGCGTTAAATACGATTGTGTTGTAACCTAATTCAGTGGCGCAGCATTAATACCCATATAAGATCGTTAAGATCGTATGGTGCTGTAGTACTGTACGTTAGTTATACGTCTGTCTGTAGCATAGCGGACATCTTTACTTTATCACAATTTTGTTGATCATTTGTCGATCATTTATTCAATTTTATCACTTCGTTATAATTACTTTGGTTGAAAATCCTACATAATAATAATTTTACAGACAATTTAACATTCATTTAAATTTATTGCATATTAAATTTATCAAAAAAAATTCTTTAAACAGTTAATAAAGTTTTACAAATTTTGTCTATATGTGTATTTTAATAATATTCATAAACATTTGCTCAATGATAACTTTTTGATTACCTAAAATTCTACATGATTATTTTGGCTATTGATTCTTGAATACCTAAATAATATATTTTGAAAATTTCAAGTTTCGCCTGTAAATCTGTGGCTTCGCCCGAAGCTCCAAAGTCAAATTAGCAGATGATCAGCAAATATAGGCAAATATCAAATTATTGAAAATTTCAGTTTAAGGTTAACTTTAACAATATAATTTTTTTTATTTTTCATAAATTATACTACTAAAAAGACATTAGTTAGTATAGTTTGGCTAAGAATTTATGGCTTTAACCATAGCTTCAAAATTAATGTGACATAATATCGATGAATGATCGGCAAAGTGATAAAAGCATGTTCGCTATGCTTTTGTCTGTACTATCTCCAAATAATAATTTTCAAAAAATAGTTTTTAATACAAAGAAACTTTATTTCTTCAATTTCTTCAAGCAGTTTATTAACAACCTGACAGTACCATAATGATTAGTACAAAACTTCATCATGTAAAGTACAATGAGGAGATAAATCCTTTTCACTTTATTATTAGTTTTTTTATTAGAAATTTAGCAATAAATCTTAAAAGATAAGAAAATTTCTAATTTTAAACTGGAGGGGAAATTCTTTCCATGACGAATAAGGGTGACAAATAGGATTTAATAACAAAACATTAATTAAGAACGTAAGGGTGTGATACATTGTGATAAATAAACCCTTAACTCTAACCCTAATCCTAACTCCTAACTCTAATAAATATTAGGGGAAGGAAACGTAGTTATTTTATTTATTAAATAAAAAAGTTTTTTCAAAACTTAATAGTTTACCTTATTTTTTAAGTTGCAAAAATTTCAATAAATTTTATGTTTAATATATAAAAATGCAATTTTATTTTTACCTTTTTTTTTTAGAATAATACTAGTGATTATACATAAAGTAAAAAAAATATAAAACTAAACTAATATTATTAACTTATGGAACCCCCATATTAAAGCTCTGAATGGTTCTATTTTTCAGTTCTTTTCTAATTGATTGTGCAATAACTCACCATTTAGTAATCATAGAAAGATGATCAATAGTTCATTAGAATCATCTTGTCAAAATGATTCAAATGGTACCAAAACCATCTTTTTAGTACTAATAGAGCTTTTCGAGTAAGGCGGTTCAAAAATCGGTCTATTAATTCCAAAAGAATGCATTGACAAAGTATTGGAGGAGGACTATTTTCAACTGGACTGGAGTCAGCATTCGGGGAACAAGTAAAGAAGTGTTCAAGGGTTTCTATAAAGATACCACAATTTGGACACAGAGAGTTATCCGCGTATAAGTCCGGGTAGCGATGTCGTAAACGAAACATCAAAAGAAGTTCATTGAACCAGAGCTGAAGCCAGAATCGAAGAGAGGCAGAGATACGCGAAACATCCATACGATGGTAAAGGGTGTCTTTAAAAAGGCCAAAAGTAAGAGTCCAATCGATAACAGAGTATGAGGACCGTAATGGAGTGAATCTAGAAAAACTAAGCAATTCAAAGAAAGCTTTCATGTCTGAGATAGTATGCCAATACGTGACTGGATCATTAATAAGAGGAATAACATTGCATAAAAAGGCAACAAGTAAACCTTGAGAGGGAGTAGGAATGTTTAACAAGGGTCCAAAAGAAAACAAAGGAACATCGAGGGAATCCGTAAGCGAAGAACAACGGGAAAGATATTCATCATTAGAGATATCCGTAATTTGTAGAAATGTGCAGTTAAGACTGGAGTTGGAAGTACAGCAATAAATAGCCATCCAAAGGACGTATAAGGAGACCGAACACGTCGTTCAGGAGAGGAGTAGCAAAAATTTGAAAAAAGGGATGTATATTGATGCTTGGTATAAAATGTAATAGAACTATTACGAGGCAGGAGACGAAGAATATGAAGAATAAGGCCTAGTTCAGAAGCTTGTGTGGAAAGCGGACAATTAGTCCACGAAGGTACACCAGAGGCAAGGATAAGGTCATCATCTTTTTGAAGCTATCCACAAACAATCGTATCATCATGTGTAAAGTTAAGTTTCCTTTTGGCATATAAATAAATATGGTGTTCCAGTCCAATGCGTAAACCTAGATCAGGATTAGAAAGGACATTGGGTAGTTAATGAGATACCAAAGCATTTGTAGGCAAAATAACAGGAAGAGCATTCACTAAAAACAATTCAGGAATATATATACGGGAATAACCTAATAAAATTTTGAAAAATGAACATATCAAAAAAGGAGATAAAAATAAATTAATATTATTACAGGTAGAATCAATATGCGAAGACATATGAAATAATTGTAAACATCTATAAGAAGGAAGAAAAGTTAAACAAGATCGATGAGATAATTTAGATCCAACAGACACTGGTCGAAATCAAAACTTTCGGTCATGTGACAAATCGGCTGATCTGTCACACATTTCGGCCAAATTTCGTAAATTATTAAAAATCGGCCAAATTTTGACATATATGATTTATGGTCGATTTATTAATTTTGTTAATCAAACGTTACGCATTACGTGTTACGCATATTAAAAGTTTAAAAAAGGATCATCTTATACATCCTTTTTTAAACTTTTAATAATTTTTTTCTTCCCCACCCCTTTCCTTTCCTTCGTTCCCCTTCCCTGTTTCCCCTTCTTCTCCTTTCCCTTCCTTCCCTTTTCCTTCCTTCCCCTTCCCCCTTTCACTTTTTTCACTTTTTTTTTATAGGTTCGGCTTTCGGGTGAGCTTCCAAAGTACAGAAACTCCAAAGATTTGTAAGTACGAATTCTTTGGAGTTTATTTTATTTTTTTTT